AAAATGTGTTTACTTTTCATTCATACGATTCACTAAACCATCCAATTTCATTTACAAACAAGAAGTGGAAACTCTGACACATCATAGATTTTCCACTACATCGAGAGCATATAGTGTTCACCCACCAAACTGATAATGTCCGTTCCATCTTCCTCAATACCTTCGTACACTTTACTCAACCTAAAATGTGCACATACCTTCACATATTATCTACTCCCAGTTAAATGTCACTTACTTATGTTACAGGTTTGAATAAATCCATTGTACCAGACTTCTGTGAGTGATGTTAAAATTTTAAATTGTAATTCACACAAAACCACAACTTTGTGTTCAGAACTCAGTTTGGAACAGATCTCAATAGATTACCACATTCCATCCATCACTACCATATTGTATCATAATTAGTAGGTCTGAGACAATGATGAAATATTGTAGTTTATCCCATCCATTAGCTATCTACTAGGTTATTAGGAGTTATTAGCAACAGTCATGTGTGATATCACTAAGACACCCAACTTGCGAACCGAGTGATTTGACCCTGATTTCACTATCTTTAAATTTCAAAACTGCAATAATATTTTAACAAATATTCTTGACATTTCGCAACACGATAAATTGATTTACACATACTCCTTGCATAAAACCGTCTGTAATTGTTCATTTCAGGTATGACTATGTTGCAGCAAACTAGTGCTAGAAACTGGGATACGAGTATCGAAAGTAAAATAATATATGGTGAGTTCAATGGAATTTTATTCAAAATGTTTGCGTTTGGCGATCTCGCTCTGGATAACTTGGTCGTGCGTCTCTAAGCTGATAGGTCACAATTAATTTCTCCACTCTGGTCTTTAGTACTTCAACCAGTATCAAAATTCTCCAATGACTGCAGTTTATTACTATTGGACGTAATATCCTTAAAGTAATTTAAGAAGTCTAATCTTCCTCCACACAGTCCAGAGACTCTTGCAAATGTTTGGAAGACGTATGTAAATATGAGGATGCTAACTTGATAACAGCTTGGATCGACCTCACAGGAATGGGCGATCAAAATGGTTAAATCGTACATACGTGTGTTTTCATAATTTCTTTGTTAACGAAACAGAAGTTGAACTCATCCGTCTCGGGAGCATCGTCACAACACCTTCCACTCACTTTAAGGAATCATGTTCAAATGACAGATCACAGAAGAGACGATTACTTACACAACAGATATATGAGAATACTATTTCAATTAAACTTACTTATTCACCTGTGCCTTTGACACGTCAACAGGTTGTGGCGTCCTGAAGAAATATTCCCAGTTGAAATGGGAAGCAAGAACAAAATTTGATTTGCTGGCAAGTAAGTGAGTGTTTTTCACACTCAATCAGCTGTCAGATTCTGCCTATCGCAAGATTATTAGAGTCAATCATGTATGGGGATCACTTCCATTGTGTCAACTAGTGAACGTGAATTCCGTTATTTGCATGAAGTGATGCATTTTTGAGTTGTCATATTTGAAAAGCAATGAATGAATCTAACGTGTTATGATTTGTCGGAATAACGTTTAGCGGCGTAAGATGCCTCTTTTTGAATACCACATACGCATTTTACATTAATAATTTCTATGTTTTCTTCCATACAGTTCGCTGGTTGGATGGTTTGGATAAAAGCACTCAATCGCGACACGTCACAGATAGGGGTAGGTTTGTTTTCGAAAAGTATTGAGTTAGTGAACTTGAACGCTACTCAATCATAACTTACCGACTGATGTCAGTTTGAGCCGTACCGCACTCCAGATACGATGAAAAACTTCACTTGCCTTAATCAGTTACTTGCATGTTTGTGAGTATTTCAACAAAGTTAACAAATGGTTAATTCAGTGGCGGTTGGAAGTTAAACTGGTAACACCATTTGTGGAATTTGTTGGAAGCATGGTTTCAAGGATCGCGTAAATATGGCACTACTTATTCAATTAGTAGGTAAACATTTTGATATTTCTAATGAACGAAAGACCTATAGACTATTATTAAACGTAGACTACATACCAGAGAAAATTTCACATTTATTATTATCACTATTTCTTACGATATTCAGTTGAATAAGACTGACTTTGCATGCTCTCACTTAATTTCACCTAATATTTTGAATTGCATAGAAGTGGAAACGATCAAATAGCTTTCGATTTTATAAATTTCTATTGTCATTCAACATTTTCCTCAATAAAGAAAGTCACTGTTTTCAACTCTCGTGTATTTAATTGCCATATTCAAAACAGGTTTCGAATACTATTCAAAAAGAGATAAATTCAAATGTGCTGAGAGTGAGATGAAGATACACCGAAGCAAGTGTAGCCTGAGTTTTAATTTGTGTTAATAAATAAGTGTTGCCTGTATATCTTGGTTCTCGTTTGACGGTACCACATGATACATTGACTGAAATCTTATGATCGCTTTAATCTCCCTACAACTTCAGCCACACATTTGTCGATATCAAATGACTGTGGTGATTTTGTTTTTCATTGTTCATAGCTAAATCCGAGGTCAACTGCATGTCAACTGTAGAAAAATATTTGGAGTCACAGCGAGTTGAAGGTTAGTTGACAAGCAAGTCGTCAATATGCGTAATATATAAAAAGAATAATAACAACTTCAGGCGTCATTCACTATCGATCACTGGAATAAAGTACTACCAGACGTTCAATATCCCAATTGTAATCATGACAGAGGAAACGGGAACGTCTCTTGGCATCGAACCAAGCCATGTGGAGAAACAACATAAAAGTATGGAGGTGTCCGTTTCAGTAATTTATTCAATGCCAGACTTCATTATTTAGCAACAGATTTCCCAGTTATCTATCTGTTATCGTAGTTGTATACATTTTGATTGTAATCATTTCACAAACCGATGTATCACATAGGCAGTTTATGTCTGTCAGTTGCTTACATTAATATGTATTGTATTTCTACTCGGTCTTTCCATCTCTCTTTATCACGGATAACTCACTCTTCGCAGATACAACGGACTCAAGAAACCCAACTAATCAATTTGACAAAATTTACAAAACTTTCAACAATTCACTGGGTAAGATCAGTGGTTAAATCATTAAAACTAAATAAAACCACGTGCGTAATGCTTTCTATCTTTCCAAACAATTCCAAAACATTTGTGTCACACACGGAAACAAACATGTTCACACAACTATTTTTACTGCGTCTACTCAGACAATGAACTCCCATATTATGCGGGGTAAATAGACTGTTCCGTTGAATCGGTGATGAAACCTTCCACAGTTTTCAGCTAAGCTTTCACACCACTAACTCATCAAGTATATTAGGAACACACTGATACTACAGTTGTTATGAATTCGTTTAATTCCGATTCACATTTGTGCTCTGGATAGTTATTTTTCTGGAATACTACTTCAATTTAATTCACAGTTGAGTTGAAGAGTAAAGTGCAAAACCTCGAAATTCACAGGATTAATTATCTGAAATGTAAGTTTGAAAATACTCTTAACTAATATGGTGTTCAGTTATGTCTCCTATAGATAGAGTCATCTGGGTTACAAATGCAATGGATGAAGAGGTGCATCACCAGTATGGTATGTGCAACTGACGTCCATTCACTTTTATCTTTGCACTTACTCAGTATCCTCTTACTCATGCAAGTCGTTTGAAATTTTATCATAAGGCGGTAAACGTTTCATTATCACATTGCGGAAATGTATGAAATATGGAAGCCGTCCAGTGGGATTTCGACCATGAGTAACAAAAGCGATTGGGTCACAATCAACGTTGTCAGTGTGCGATCTAACATCTGAGATGAAACCTGAGTTCTGCAACAAAGATGACTCCAGACGCATATCATCAATATCACATATTCACTGATTTTACGTGTTCAACATACTCGAGGGAATTCATCTAGATACGTGAGTTCAGTGCAATTCGCCGAAAAACTGTTTTAATCCACGGCATTTTTAGTGTTGGCACTGGTCTAGAAAGGCATATATTTGTGCACGGATTGATTAGGAAACAACTATATTGCATTACTGTGTACATGCTACTGACTACTGATCAATATTTGGGAGATTCGTGGGAATATATTGTGCAGTGAATGAAGCAAAATAAGTGACTGATCAGTCATGATGCATTTATGTCCTTGCTACTTTACATCGGTCAGAACTATTTTATTCACATTGGCGCTGTATGGTCCATCAATAATCGACTTCATCGAGTATGTACTTTGTGTTGTTTACCTCTATTCCTTCGAATTACTCTAAATACTCATCAACTCAACATTTACCTTTCTTGTAGGAGTCTACGTTTAACTCAGAGAATGGGACGGAAGACAATATCGTTTCATCAAATGATATTAATTAATTTGTATCAGTATTAGTAGTATTAGTAGTATTGATGCTTTAAAATTGTTTGATTAAATGCAAGTCTATCCACAATATTTTAGCTTTCTTGCTCTACACGATAGATGCTGAAAATAAATTATTGAGTGCAAAGTGTTTTGTGTTTGCTTGTGTCTCTTCGATCCTCAGTTTATGCCTACCTCAAAGGTTGACGCAAAAAACACAGTCTTTCTCTCTTTCTAAATTACCGAGTCACTAATATTCATCTGATTCTCATGTTACTCTAAACAGTGAAGTCGAAGGATCCAAGGTATTGAAGCACATTCAATGAGATTCATTGGATGAATGCATATTGAATCCCGATTCTTATGCATTATGTGTTTCTGAGATAATAAACAGGCTCAAACCGTTACTTGAAAGGCCGTAGACACTAATAGGTATGAAGTCATTGGCAAAAAACAATTTACAGATGATCCGATCAATACCTAGAAATAATTATGAGAGGTAACAGTCAGCTGTTATCAATGAATACAAACGAAGGCCTACTAATAAAGTCAGGCGAACTGGATTTCACAATGCTGAAACGGTACTATGACGATGACCGTAAACCGAGATCAGAAAGCTAAGCGATGCAAATGATTATGACGATAAAAGCAACAACTTCATGTTGTATAATTTATGCTAAATTAGAAATGCACGAAAAATATACAACGTTATACTTTTGAAATGGAATACAACCTAGGGAAAAGATTTCCAGTTAGTCATTTACAATTCTTCGAGTTCATTTACAATAATTTGTACTGTAAAGGCACGCATATCTTATGCGGATGAAACACAATCAAGCTCAGAATGAATAGACATTGCAAAGGGAAATGATGGGTAGGAAATATATTTCTTAATAGAAGACTATAAAATAGCAGTGTGCAACATGATATTGTGAGTCAGCATTCTTACAGGGAAGAGATTATGAATATCTGAACTCATGTCTCTCTGCCCGCCTACGTGTGTGTGCGTATGTTATTATGCATGTACTATTGTGCATTTATCCCAAAATATATGAAATACTCTTTCAGCATTAACAACGACACCTTTGATGATTTAGAAATTGATAATGGAAATATGTCAACCCTGAGATGAAGTCAGGCAAAAATTGGAGACATGGTAAGGAAGACAATCAAAATGATAAGAAAAACATGATCACTGTAAAACATCGTTCAAATTAGTTGAGAATGTTTCTCTTGATAACGGAAATAAGGAATTTATACATGGGACGCTTTCACTTTTCGGATCAGAGCTTATAGAATCTAGTTGTGTTTCAGAGGTATGTCGCTCATCATAATTATCTTCGTGGTCAGCTTCATAATTCGTTGTGTAATCCATTCCGCGAACCACAGAACCATCAGGAAGGACATCAATATCAGAAATTTGATTCTCTCTCCTATCAGTTAAGTTGGGGAAAGCATTGACCAAATTTGAACCATCTGGTTGATGATGACGTCGGCGACGACGTTTAGCAGCTTTCACGTTTGAACTTTTGAATGAAATAGAAGTTACTTTATCTCTTATAGGTGTGGATCTCGCTTCACATTGTCCACTAGATATGTTGTTCTCATCGTCAGTTGACTTAGATAAACAGGAAGAGCAATGACTCGAATCCTTCTGTGAAGGCAATGTACCACTGAATGTCGGCTGACCTGAAACAAGAAACATCTGATTACCCGATAGAGCTACTGTAAGGAATTTCTTTGGATGCCATGATAAGTGAAGTATTTTACGTTGACAGTGTATCTGGTGCATTCCAGGGACAGCTGACGTCCCCGATTGAAATTCTTCGATAGGCATATTTTTGACAGGCAGTGAATTTAAAATGACACTTGATAACTCATGACTATCATTTAAGTTCTGTTCTGTGCAAGAAGAACTAACACCGTATCCACATTTCTCTATCCTCTCATATTGAGAATGATTGTTGCGATGACGATGTTTACTTTTGTGGTGACTACTACGGGCTTTTTCGTGTTCACTTTGTACAGCACAATGGGAATCAGTAGAATTGTCGGCACGAGAAGGAAGGATTTGCTTTCGACGCTTCGAACCTGTTGGAGGTGCTGAGGGAGTATTCTCTGGAGGGTTGAGATCTTCTAATTGACAGTTAGATAGCTTCGTTCTACCAGGTGACACCTCTAAGGTGTTCGAACTATCGTCAAATTTATTCCAATCACTATCACTATGGCTGCTATGCGAACTGGTTTGACTTGTAGTTTCTGGAAAGAGAGCTTCCACAGCATCCAACGGTGCTACGAAAATTGACGATAAACCTAACCGACTTCCAATGGGATCATCAGGAGACATAAAACGTTTAGGTGATAAGTAATTCCCAGTATTACATGCAGAATTCGTGCTATAAGGATTGTTTGAATCGTCAAGGTCATACAACCAATCAAAGCCATTGTGACGGTCAAATATATGAAAGAGGTTGCCGTAAGATCCCGTTATTGCATACCTGTATATAAAATGTAGAAAATATTGTATGTTAGAAATATGATTTTTAAGGTTGCAGAGAACCGACTACAGCAAATATATCACATTTCATTTAATCCTTAAAAATCTAAGTCCTGTATCAATGCACAACCGTTGCTGCTACCTTGACGTTGTGGACAGGCTTGCTTATCGTAATGAACTAATCGAGCTATACTGGCTGATAGAGCTTTGCATAATATGAATTACCAATTTTGCATATCTTAGAAAAACTGTTCGTGATACCGAATAAGTTGTGAGTTAAAATATATCATTCCACTTACATTTGTGACAAAATCAGCATGCTTTGTCCCATTATTTTGAAGTGTGATATTTTAGCGGTTAACTGATTTAAAGTTCAACCATAACATCCCAAGTTCTAATTCGTCCTTCATTTTGACTCGGATAACTGGTTGACATCACTAGCCGTTACACAGCATGTAGGTCGAAGCCGATTAAATAATTCCGCAGTCGATAAATGATTTATGTTATTCTCGTATTTTGCAAAAGTATTAAAAGAGCTTCTGCCCGTTGCCATAACCTTGGCGTAAGATCTCAACAAGTACGGAACTAACACGAAAACTACTCGCAAAATGGTCGTGTGTGACCGACCTCAAGCAGTTGTCGCTTGGGCACTGCGGTCACGCTTTCAGGTCACTAAGACCATCTCATACCCAATTTCGTCTTCAGCTACTTCAAGAAGAACTCTCCCACGGAGTGGGCGACCGGGAAGTGATAACCGCCCTCAAACCTTTAACAGCACTCGAGATCACTGTATTCATAATCAATCTCCCTCTCCAATCCCTATTATTACTCCTACCTCAGTTTTCATACTCTGAACTTCATCCTCAAATGTCACCATAGCCAACGATTCTAGTGCACGAAACACTGTCCCAGGTCTACTCAAACCTCACTCCAAACTACAGATTGGAGCATTCAACGTCAGGTTCTAGAACACAGACATATCTATCGGCGTCCAAAAATGGTGGTCTTCCCTGATTTAAACGCACAATTCAATTCTGTAGACCGCGAGATTTTGAGGCAGATTCTGTTATTGAAAGACGTACCTCATAAGTACATAAACCTCGTGCAGTCTCTCTACCAGGTAAGTAATAGTGAGGTTAGACTCAAGGTATTAGGGAATGATGATAAATCAGTTATTGAGGTTGTGAATCTTCATCGACTGAGATGGTTGAGCCACGTGTTGCGTATATCTGAACACCGATTACCATGACGTGCAATGCTAACCGGTGTTGAGGATGGTTGAAAGAAAGTTAGGGCAGGCCGAACCAAAACGTAGACCGCTAGATTCTGTGGCAGTGTCTGTTATTCAAAAGCGTACCTCAGAAGTGCACAAACCCTGTGCAGTCTCTTTACTCGAACGCTACTAGTTGAGTCAGAGCTTATGGCGAACTGTCATCTGCTTTCGCAACCTGAAGTAATGTCCGTCAAAGCTCTCCACTTTCTCCATTTTTATTCAACTTCATCGTAGACCTACTGGGGGAAATAAAACTTTCATCGACTGAGCGGCAGTCCGATCTGTTCTATTATACGGCTGCGAAACTTGGGCATTAGGAGTAAAGATATTTGTAAGCTACCAGTATTTGTCCACGGATGCCTTAGATATATTGCTCGCATCTTCTGGGATCACCAGGTAAGTAATAGTGAGGTTAGACGCAAGGTATTAGGGAATGATAGTAAATCAGTTGGTGAAGTTGTGAATCTTCATCGACTAAGGAGTCCCATAATAGGACGAAACGGCCGTCCAGTGCTTCCAGGTTTTCCATGGTGGTCTAGCTTCAACTGACTCATGATCTTAATCATTGAAATTACTACAATCTCCACAAAACCCCTTCTGATAATAAGTTGGTTTTACCACGTATTACGTATGAAAAACCACCGACTACCAAAGGGCGCAACGGTAACTAGTATCGTAGACGGACAGGAGAAAGTTAGGGGACGCCAAACCAAAACATGGCATCAGTGCTTGAAATCACTAACTTCTGGTCTTAGCCATGTCGTTAGATGCAGACCACCTGGTTGGGGTCAGCTGTGGCAACTTGGACCGATGCATATATGTGTCTGGTACTACGTTGTAGCTGACTGACTGAATGAATGTATCAATGCACAAATCTCAGCATTAAACATAATCGTATTGTTGGCCCACAAGTGTGGTTTTCAGGAATCAAAACAACTCTTCATCTGACGAAATATATCTCACAGCCAGTCCCCAGGAAATACCTCGAAAGCCGGAAAGAGCATCAACGAATCATTCACATGGAAATCGGCCTTATAAACGGTCGTCTATTATTTTAGTGAAGCAACTCGATAGTGGGAAGATTGATGGTCAAACTGGTATAAGCTTCGGTTGTACACTACATTTCAATAATAAGTGAAAATACAATTATTTATCTTTACACTAATATCTCATTATTACAGTAGGTGGACGACCGTTCAGTTAACAAAATACCACAACCATCTCAATCGATACACGTTTCAGTCGACCACAGGCAAAGTCAGACCTGGCATAGATGTGCATCGGTGCAAGTCGTCTTACCACATTAGCACAGTGAGACAACATTGTCAAGACGAGTACATGAGTAGCAGAAGTACTTACTGTACCAGTAGTAGGAAAGGTTACGTATGACAGGGAAAAGTGTAACAAGATTCCTGGACTCAGCATTCAAGGGATGATAGAGTGAATACATTTGCGCAATTGAGAACGATTCTAAGACATGTCACACCTACATATGTTTATGAGCCATAATTACCCATCATTGCAATTATTTCATAGTATTCTCCTGAACTTCGAGACAAATAGTGTGTAACATGTTTACCATCCACAGATTTGTGCACATCAACCTTCAGTAACACTATTTCAGATATAAAGGACTAGTGATACTACCTCAACAGTAGTTCAATATTAATTGATTTAATTATAATATTGATTAATTAAGGAGCTTACAGAGAGAAAGTTCATTAATCGACCATAAATCCGAAACACTGAACGAAAGCACTGACCAACATCTTTATGAAAATGTATGTCAACGCCTTAATACATACATATTTGACGAAAGTCTCAACGGTCAATGCGACCAGACGTTTACGTTTCACGCTACATGGGTCACCAAACCACTTGCACAAAAGTTCAACGAATCAAAAATATGCATGTGTCTGATTGATCCGTAGGTACTAGGTAGTCACATTCGTTTATTCATTGTAATTACTATTTAATTTTTTATGGAAGAGCAAAGATAAAAAAGAAACAAGAAATACATATTTTTAAAGTTTACCTATCATCATCAGACCATCCACATAAGAATTTATCAAAAATAGCATCATTTTCATACAACATACAAAGTTGTGATCGAAATGGTTCATGAACTGAATAAATTTCACACGGTCGATCGCCCATTCTCATATCCCAAACTAAGGTAGAGAAAAGTTCAAGATAAACAGTGAGTGAAGAAATCGGTAAATACACGAGTAAAGTATTTCTAGCTTCCAATAAACCACAGTAGTACGTAGGTTGAGTTTCAAAAGCTTGAACATCAACCAACAGCTTGGTCAATAGTACGTAATGAAGTGTGAACAAGTAATAGCTCATATCTCTACGAAACTGTTAAGTGCACTCACCAAACCGAGTGTGAATCCAACCCACTAAATTGAAACCTCAAGCGATTCAACTCAAAGAACACAAAACAGTAGCAAGCAAGTTACTACACTCACATAAACTGGCAAGCATTTTAATCCGTAACTTTGTACGTTAGTAACGATACAATGAAGCAAACTTATGAGCCAAAAGAAACTGCTTCTATGGGAAGGACGCGATAGAAACCGGAGGGAAAAACTAGGCATTATTATCATTAAGTCTCTATAGAATAATGTTTAAGATCACCTCGAACAATATCACACAACAATACTAGTAATAATAATAATAATAATAATAATAATAATAATAATAACCAATGGAAATCATTAAAACCGATATGTTCGTCATACGGCTTAATACTACACCTGAAGACTAGGCCACCAATCGCCATAAGGTAAACAGTCCTACCGACGTGTATAGAGATATCGCTCATCTCGACAATTAATCTTGGGGAAAACTTCAACAGACCATTTAATCATAATGATTTTGGAAAGCTGACAGGTGCCTGTGAACTACTTTACTATCTTTAGTGTTCAGCCATACCAGGAACTATTGCTTAAAACGCTTGCAATTAAACAACGGCGTGTGTATTTGATTGTGAAAGTGTGTGTTCGATCTTCCTCTACGAGATATTAAACAAGTCATATTCAACATGCGGCAATCCAATACAGTTTGCCGAACCTCCGGGGTTATGGCACTCATAGCTCCACATCAAAACTATATCTTTTTCATTTTAAATTTACAATTCCAATATACATTCGTTTACAAGTCAGTCTGTAAAAAACAACGTAGAATCTGGCATATGAGTGCATCAGCACAGTGATGTGACATACTTGAAACAAGTCTCAGAGTGGTGAAACTAGTGACAATATCAGTTGTACTACAACGAAACAGGCATAAACAATACCCAATAGACACAACTACATGCTCTCAAGGTGGATAGTTGTGACGGTGTGCGTATCAATACCAAGCTTCGACTAAACAATTTAAAATAAATTAAGTGACAGGTAGAATACTAATCATAAATATCGATATATTTGTTCGTGTTGTACCCTGAAACGATGACAACTTGTGTGTGATGTAGTAGTGAAAGTTATCAGCCATCCATACGATACGCTTCATTATATACCTTAATTCTTCTGTATTTCAAGGTTTATAAATTTGGAGCTCATACATATGAGGCAAGTAAGGCCCATTTCTTGGTGAAAACCATTTAGTTTACTCTTCTTTGAATATGCTTTGAGTTGGCTATACCCTTCTTAGACATGCGGACATGATAAAGAATATTTTTAGAGATGGAATGTTGAGAAAACACTAAAGACAGTTTTAAGTAAACCTGCATTAACTGGATTTCTGTAGAAACACTGCACGAGCATTAGTAATGGTGAGTGAGGTCCTAGAACCTCTCGGAGAGTACGAGATGAACGGAGTGTCACCACTCTTCAATACAAGTACTCTGAAGTTGCTGTTGTTGTGCTTAGGGAGATTACTATTGCTTTGGTCATTTATCTTATATAATTCTTCCTGAATATCTAAGATATAAATTGATCATGTGTGGTAAAATGGAATTACGTATGCTTGCATGTGGCCTATTATCCTACCATTAATTTATACATTACACTTATCATTTATGACTTTGTAATCTACTTCAGCGCAATAAATGACTCACAAACTACCTTGATTCACTTAACGCTTTCATATATCGATATAAATACTCCATCATATTACAGTAAAGGTCCATGGTGTCCAATTGGAAACAATACTGTACCCTTATATGTGTTGTTTTAACTATCGCAATTGTTTGAGGTACAGTTGTAGATTTTAATTACTGGTAATGTTTCATCCATTGTTGCACTGTAGTTCGTCGTATGAATTCCGTATAATATTGACGACTTTCTCAGGTACACCATAGTGTCGAAGAAGGTTTCATAGCGTTCTCCTGTCCATATTGTAAAACACCTCATAGTCAATGAAGTTCATATACGGTGACGGGTTCCATTCAATTGATTATTCAATGATGATCCGTCATGTCGTGATTTGGTCTGTGCACGACTGATAGTTACGGAATCCAGCCTGTTGATCTAGAAGTTCGGTATCTACTGAGTCTTTCATCCGGTTCAATAACACTGTGTTGACAGTAATGTGATCCCACTGTAGTTCTCACATTTGTTCACATCTCTGTTTCATATTTCCATCGCTTGAAGCGTCTTCCGCTGTCGTTGGGAGCTCTTTCATGTATTTTTTTCTTGTTAGCTCTAATACTCTTCCTCACTTGCTGGCTTGATCCAGTATATTCAATTTGTGCCTTGGCTTTCTCTGTTCTTGTATGGTTGTGCTTTAAGTGCTGTCTTCTTGTTCTTCCTTTCTCGAATCTTTCCCAGGGTTTCCATGTAGGTTCAATCTTTATGATGATGCTTCTTGAGGTCCAGAACCTCCTGACATGTTGAAGTCAGTGCTTCTTTGATGTCTCTCCAGTTATTCTCCATGGTAATTTCCTCTTTCTAGAGTAGATCTTGTAAGGCTTGGAACGTGTTGCGGTGAGCTATATTGAATTCGCTGAGTTTGTTAGTATCTATTTATCCAGTTTTCCAGTGCTTATTTAGCTTCAGTTTCGTCTTGGCAACCACCAGGTGGTGACCTGGAGCTACGTCAGCTCCCTTACTAATTCTCACGTCTTCCATTGTTGTGGTCCGGTGTGACCTACGTAACTTTGTATGTGCGTTTGTGTGGAAATATTGTGTCACCTATAACCAATTTGTTGAATGCACATAGATTTGCAAATCTCTCACCATTCTCGTTCCTTTCTCCCAGTCATACCCGAAATTGTTCATTCAAACTGTGACGCTTAGGTTTCCCCTCAGGATGGTTAGGTCTCTTCCTGGACACTTCATTCTGATCGATTGCAGCCTCTCATAGAACTGATCATTATCTTCGTTATTGCTATCGTTGGTTGGTGCATAACATTGCATGACATTCATCTTAATTCCCTCCTTCTTTGTTTTAAATGATGCTTTGATAATCCTCGATCTGTGAGATTCCCATCCCATAAGTGCATTTGTTGCTTTTTTGGACGGCATCAGAGCAACTCCGTGACTGTGTGGAGCATTTTCTACTTCGTGGTCGGAGTACAGCAGCATCTCTCCTGTATCTAACCTTCGCTGTCCAGATTGGGTCCAATGGGTTCGCTGATTCCAAGTACTGTCAAGTTGTATCTCCTCATTTCCGTTGCTATTCGACTAGTCCTCTTGGTGTCCCACATTGTTCTCACGTCCCATGTACCTGTAAAAATTGTTCCTCTGGTTTTTAGGAGGGGCATCGACCTTGTGACTTCCGAAGAATTTCAGCTTTTATCATGAGGAGTTGTAATTCTTCCCTCAACTCCCAAGGGAGAGTTTAAGTGGTTTAAATGGTTTATTCTGGTTTGAGTTTTTTAGCAAGATTGTTTTCTACAGGGTGGGGTTGCCGACCCTATGCCCAACCCTTCTCCTTCAATCGGGGCTTGGGACGGGCAGTAACTCTGGAAGTGCTACAGGCGAAGTTTGAATCCATTGTGCATCAACCTAATCATGCCTGTAACTTAGTATGCATGTTGTATTTGTGAAACCGTGTAGAAGATTTGTAGCTCAGATGGATGATTTTGATGGAGTTTTGTTCTCTAAGCTGGATGGTTTGGTCGTGGAGCTTTCATAGTCCTTCTGAACGACATTGTCAGCACAAACTTCAGGTAGACGTCGACCTGAAAGCTCCACGATCAAACCATCCAGCTCAGAGAACAAAACCCCATCAAAAAATATTGTAATTGTCTTTAGGAACATATTATTATCTTCATTTTTATTATTATATTGTTACATGCAATACATACATAAACACTACTCTTCTGCTTTCTTCATTTTCATATTAAAATGTAGCAGGAACAAACAAATACAACAATCTGTGACTATTCCAATAAGTAGAATAACTCTCTAATACAATCATATTATATTATACGAACTGTGTGTCATATTTACTAAGCTAATGTCGGAAAAGAAAAATTCGAATTATTAAGCCACTGGAAAGAAAACAATTTTAAACTTGAAAAAAAACCTGAAATAAACTGCTTTTTTAAGACTGATGAATAAGTACCGTTGGTATGTAGTCATCCATAAAATCACTTATATTATTGATAAACCTATTATTTAACGAATAATTGTGTTAGGTTAGGTTGGAATCAATAAAAAATTTGGTCGTTTTATATAACCTTTACGTATCTTATGCGTATATTCGATTGTTGACCAACACCTAACTCGCAGGCATGTTATATACATTTAATATTTTGTCAGTAAATGATCCCATAAACATATATATTGTTAGCCAATCTTCCGCTAGTGGTTTCATTTTAACAACTTATTCGATTTAGATTCGAAGCTCAATTCAGTAAATAATCATAAATACAGCTATCTTAGATATTTCAGTATTCAATCAGGTTGTTACAACACTGATTGTGTTATAATGACGACAAAATTAAACAAGAATATTTATACTTCTACATTTTAGATAATCACACTATCATGTATGAATCCATTTTACCCAATAAATAAACAAACTACAGTGAAAGTAGATGTGTAAAACTAACAATGTAACCTATTCGTAGGGGTTCGGAACTATCTAGAACTATCAAGACTCAGTAGCTAAGTGGATAACGCGATAGCGTTTGAAGCGAACGGTACTGGGTTCGAGTCCAACAGTGATCAAATCTGAGGTGCAGGTACACTCAGCTGACGAGTCCCAAATAGGACAAAACGCGGGTCCTGGATTCCACTGCTATCCATCTTTGATTATAAAGCTTGTGACTTCAGGCAATATCGAGGCAGTCCGTACAGGATGCACATATGTCAACAAGAAACTGATCAATTGCAGTCCTAAATAACTATGGGAAGATACAAGTAAACAACACCAAGTGAATATCCAGTTCTTCGATATTCAGGATTGCAATATTTTGAGAATTTGTTGAGTTATGTGTGTTATATGTATCCTTAGACCATGGTTCGAAATAGCCTTTTTGGTTTATGTGTTATTATATTTGGGATTCATCATTTAAGTTTGCATAATATCTGGCGATTGATATTCAATAATAAATTTCCGTAAGTCTTTATTTAGTGATAACTAAGTGGATAAAGTGTTGATGGTTGGAGCGATAGGTAATAAACTCGAGTCTCCATGTGAAAATGAACAATAATGGCATGGAACTAAATTCAGGTGACAAGCCACAATACAAATATAATTACATCGTAACTGTAATTCTAAGAAAACTAAAATGTCTTCGAAAAATGATGCTGACATTACCAATGTCCAAACAATCTATATAAAAATGGATATAAAATTTATGATAAAATTATGATTTCACTCACTTTTCAGTGTTAAATAATCTCTGGCTAAAAGATAATTTCCAGTATGACCGAAGCGAAAATCTGATAAACTTGCAATAATATCGGCGAAAAATCCCAGATTTTGTGAAAGACTTGGATCCTCAAACACTAAAATATGCAAGTCAACTAGGCAGGTAAAGTTTTCAGTGTTTGGTAGAATTAATAGAAAAGAAACCTTTAATCAAGCAGTATGATGGCAAACATTCAGAAGGATATAGAACTATACTCATTGTTGGTTTTCACGAATGAAGTCTAAAGAAAATTCAGTTTGAACGTCCACGAAGAGACTATGGAAATCCTTGAGAAGAGACATAATGTATTAAGCACTTTAGTTGTTATGGTTCCATAAAAACGCAAAAGTTTTTGTTTCCTGTTGGGCCTCTTGTAGTTGAGGCGGTGATGGTAAAGTTTCTTAACACATTTCCATAGTGACTATTTCTTTTTATGGTTGTTAGACTGATGACTTTCTGTTCAGTTGATGACCTTCCTCTCACCAACAAGTGCAGTGTTCAAGATAAATGGATTTTATATAGGCATCAACTCAATCAGAGTCCACAGACTATACTCATTTGAATAAACATATGCCTTTTTAAACAGTGGTTCTGATGTGGCGTCGATTGTCGCCAAACTAGTTAATTCTTCGGGCATTAAAGAAGAGAAAAGTAATCTATCGGCTGTTATTGTTATAAGTGATCAATAGTATTTAGAATTTCATCTAAGTGTGTATATATACGCTAATGTGAAGCTGTATACTGCAATGCGAATCAACTAATTTTATGCACAGAATCTTACTTATCGGCTCAACATCATCTTTAAGCTCAAATGATTCTTTTATTTCTTCCTCCAACGGGTAAAATAACTTTTGTGACAGACCTGACGTGGGAAACTTATATATACTTACTTAAAGAACCATTATTCCAAACAAATTTGAATGTAGAATATTGAGTGAAAGCTTATGAAAACGACAATGAAAATATACAATAATCCCGGTATTTAATGATTATACCATCAAAATATAAACAATAATTAGACGAAGGATAGTTCTAGATCTTTTATTTATTATTTCTTTTAACACATAACATTCGTACAAGGAGACACCAAATAGATATACACCACATAAATCATTCGATTTGCGTGAGGGCTGTGATACTGCCCGGGTGCCCAAATCAAAGTAGGTGGTTTTCTTAGGGGGGCCACACTTCGAGCCTTTGACCTAAAGGTCTAATCCACAAGGCAGTGGAGCATCGTAAGGAAATGCAGTCCCATGAAAGCCGGTGATCAACAATATGTTCATACGCCATTTGTTCCCTCAGGATCCTGTAGTCCATGTGCACCATTGGTTTGGAATCAGGGTTTCCCAACTCCCCTAGGTGGACACTCCGTGTCTACCAACTCGGTTAAAGCGCCGGACACTCGCTTTTCGTCCTCTTAATTTGGTAAACAACACCAATTTTGCGAAAGGCAATGAGTAGGACTTCCTTGACAGAGGCTGTATACGCGTGGCCGTGTGAGAGTATTCAGAGAGAGAGAGCTAACTCTCCCGACTCTCGGCCGTATCAGGGCATTTGGATGAGTATCTTTGCCTATCTAGAAGTATAATCTTTGCTAATTCTAATCCGATATAAAATTAATGGCTATCTGGTCCTAGTAGCTTAGACATCAGCGCTTTCGAGTTTGAATTAATAAAAAATGGGTTTAAGCCTCACTTTGCCCATCACCACTAGGTTTTACGTAGATCTAGCTGACGAGTCCAAACAGAACGAAATCCCCGTCTTGCAGTCAGTCAGTCAGTAACAATGTGGAACTTCGTACGTACGCACATCAGTTCGAGTTGCCATACCACATTAGCACACAGATTCAGTTATCGATTCAAATCCCGTAGTGGTAGAGGCAGTGAAAGTATAAGTAGTGATAGGGAACATTAGGTTTTGATGATGCTATTTAAGGAGTATAATCCAGTGGAATAGATTTGGAAAGAAAATAAAGGACATAAAGAATTCAGAAGATTAGAGTTTGAGAGAACACAAAGAGTGGATGCACCTGCGCCATTGCAAACGATTTTGAGCCATGTCATTCAAGGTCTCTAACCATCGGTTGCTATCAACTCGCGGTCCCCAACCAAGTAGTTTACATCTACCAAAATGGCTCAGTCCACTTGTCAGTGACTTCATGGATTTGTGCCATGTTTTGTTCTGGCCTTACCACCGGAGACGGAAATCTGTGGGGTAAGGTGAAGTGTGACATTTTTAGGGTCAACCTTTTCTAACCCCTTCCTTCCTTGTGAGAAGGCAGCATTGCTGCAGATGCTGGTTGTCCGAGGAAAACACTTTACTGCTGTCACACCTCTGTACAGTCAGCAGTACGACTTCGCCCTCAAACCTTCAGTTGCTGCTTTTAGTCTTACCGTTCTCCAACCGACCTGCCTGGCATGGTAGAACCTGCAGGAACATGTGTTCCAGCTAATATAGCTCGGTTGGGTCATCACGATAGGCAAGCCCAATCACCACGTCGAGGTAGCAGCTATGGTCGGGCTAGACGATTGGATAATACCACTACTCAACGGTTGTGATCCAGTCTAATACATGAAAATACTTCATATTAATAACTTAAAATATTTTATTGCTTCGTACGTTAAGCAGACAACCAATTTTACGTGACCAATTACCCGCATATACACATTCTTAAACATAAACTAAGTGAAATCAAACATTTTCAAACAGTCTTGAAGGACGGAATCGGTCAAGCATCTCACGACATGTAAACTTTTCCCATATGATATTTAGGAAGTTTGGTCGAATTATACTTTCAATACAAAGATAAGGACGATAAATATATAAAGGTTGAGATACTAATAAATTAAGAAATATCCCTAATCACTAATCCGTCTTGTGCCTCGGTGCAAACCTAAATCCAAATGTACTAAAAGCTCAGGCAAATAATTCATGTCAATAGGGTTCCAATATTAAAGCTGACTTCTCAGATCTCTCCATCGAATTTATAAGAACTTCCATTTCTGACAGATTTTTACTAAACTGACGAATTATCTTAGTTATTCCATGAGAAACAATCATTAAGAATTGCTTTTGTATGTCATATCAATGAATCAAATGAATCCACAAATAAAGTAGGGCCTGAAATAGGTTCACAGTTATATACTGAACTATGCTACCACAAAATTAAGAGTGAAGGGGTTGAAATTAGAAAATAACACCGAATATTGTTTCAAAATAACCGTAATGACCGTTTAAAAATACTAGTGGATATTGTTGCCTGTTGACTTACAACCAAACAAACGCAAATAAATATTTATCTTTTAGTACACCTTTGACTATTTGATACGTTTAGTGAGGAAAATAAATAAATGAAATATCCCATAACAGACCAAGGTAATTTTCTCAAAAGTAAGTTCTTTTAAATTTTTTCAAGTTTTATAAAGCAGGTTACAATAGTTGACAAACTAACAAAAACTGTGATAGTAGTGAGTTATTTGTAGGCTATTTCATCGAGACTGTAGAGTAATTTTGTAAGATTAATGCCATAATAACTTCAGTGAACACACACTGACCATGTACATTTCACAAGTTAAGGAGTAAGAAAGAATCAGGGTTTCATAACACTAAAAAATTTACGGCTTTAATAAATTATTATTTCAAAAATTATAGAGTGACAATCTAAAAATATCAGCATTACACCATGTATGTATCTACATTTCACACGTAAATCAACTTCGTTATATATGGAACAGCTTACCAAGTACATGATTGTCACATAGAGCACGATATCGCATATCGCATAACCGAATCAAACCTCGACTAGTTGAATAGGCGAGTATATTACATTGAACAGGGTGAAACCGTGAACAAGTAATAACTTCACTTAAATCCTCCATATTTGAGGGTTTTAAATCGACAATAGCTAGAAAAGAGCAAATCAAAACGGCGAGAATATTAACAATTAAAAGAACAAGAAGAAAAAGTTATGCAGTCAGGACCATTGATGACAAGCTTTGTATTCATAACCTGTTCAAACCACTGAATCATAAGACACTGTGAACTGTGGCTAAAACTTTACAATGTGACATGCTGACCTAATATGACCACATATATTATATTAGCACAGTTTGAGGATCCGTAAATGTTCAGTTTGAAAAATAAGTTATTGAAAACAATAATTTATTCCTTGTTTTTCAACACCGATTATTTAGCCATTAGAGTACACCAGTTTAGTATGATTACAATTGAATTGTAACACGTATTCACATTCAAACTAGTTTCTAAATTCAATTTAATCACTTTGACTTTTAGTTTTCCATTACTCAATAATTCACAGTGATTCCTGTTTATTGAACAAGTCAGTATAAAATGCTATTTCACCTGAATAAAGTTGAAACTATTTGAAATTCGAATACAAACCTGAACAAGACTGAGATTTAGTTATGTTTCGAACAATATACAGCGAGAGTTATTACTACTTTTTAATTGTTACGCCAAGAAATAGTTATTTATTAACACTAATAATAAGCACCGATTGGTCATTTTACAGAGGACACTGAAAACTAATACATAAAAATATACGCATGACTACATAAGTAACTTAAAGTTTATCAAGATTTAAACCATAAGTTCAGATAATTAGGTTGTTGAACATGTACATTTATTAGAAAATCTGCTCTATACTTAAATCACTACTATATGCACGCATAACCAACTGGTGTTTTATTACAGCGATAAATAAGCTGTATAAAAGAAAGAAGATATTTGTTTGATATGCTTTGGAATAAATCATTGAATCAGTTCAGACATTTGAATAAACCGACTAAGTTCAATTATCCATACTGCTATCTGTACTTTTCATCCGCACTTAAGCAAATTCTTCATAAAACAGAGGATGTTGTCAGTAATTCAGCTCGCTAGGACTCATACAACAATGTTTCAAACAATATTTTAGCACAAACTAAAGAGATATTAGATTCCATTCTGTTATGGAGGAAGTTTGCCGTGATTTAATTAGATGAAATTTCCTATTATTAAAATCAATGAATAGAATGCTAACCGATAAATGAACTGAATGGTATATGGCCAAGCGATGGCTACTCACGATACCGTATTATTGACTTAAGTCTCCGAATAATTCGAAGTCAAAGGCAAGAGATAAGACCACTAACCAGATGAGTTTTAAGAAATGAAATAACATCCTTATATAAAGAATATGAAAAAAATATAAGCATAATAAAATTTCACAGGCGGTTGGAGAAAATCAGTTCGTATGTTACTTATTCTCTAATCAAGATCTAACTGTTGGGCTTAATCTCTGGGCATAGTAACACATTCCCTATTCGGCAAGAAATACTGACTTATCGACCAGTGGGACTATTCATTAAATTCATGTACACTTAAACGGAATTATGTAGAAGATATAAGACATCCTATATGTTTATCAACTGATTATAGTTACTAATAAGAAAACCTAGCTTTAGAGAACATAAAATAAGGCTTTCTGTTTCGATTGTTAGGAGCCTAGAGTACTAGTCATTTTTTAGTTCTACAATTAGCAACTGGACCTTCGGTTTTAAATCTTGAAATGGAAAAGTAAACATTTGACTTTCATAAAAGCTGTACCGTAAGAAAGCACCAAATAATATAATTTAAAATGGAAAATTAGTGACTTTATAAATAAGTATGAATACGAAGGAGTATTGGGTAACTAAATTCCTTCCAAATAAAGTGTTGAATGAATAGCATAAATAAATGCACTAAAAGGTAATTGTTGCCTAAAAAATGAAAGATGGTAAAGTTCGTGATATGACTCAAAATTAGCTTCAGTGATATAGATGTATTTATTTTGTACTTTCTCCTAGATTCTAAGCTTTGGTGCTATTTCATACTTTACATTCATTCATTCCATTCCTTTTCGGACCATATTCCACATATCTAGTTTTGTTATGAATAACATTAATATTATTTAAACTTCCTTGCTACATATATGGTTAATCTCACATTGTGGTGAGGGAACCTGGGCTGAATCTGCATGTTCGAATCATGGTCTACATTGACCGAGATTATTTGAGATTAAAAAGAACACAGGAAAAGTCCATTTATTATCAATTATGGATATATAATTCTACAAATTTAAGATTAGTAAATAAACATACTAAATGATTGATCGGACACATCTAAATGCCAAAGATTAATGCGTAAATCGTCAGCCGAAAGAAATGTTTCTTGGTCAGAATTTACAGAAACCGCATTTATATGATAAGCATGAGCATTAGCAAATAAACGTCGTGGGCGGGCTTCAATTGTAAGATGACGAGATTTACGAAACTTCGGAATACGCAGTTTATCTGGAGTTATTATGTGAGGAATTGGTGGTCCGATCATATTCAGTCGATCCGTGCTTTCATCCCATAAACTAGCATTCTCATCGTCACGTATATTAAAATTATAGGCTTCATAGTGTCTTTCTGATAATCTCCACAATTTAATGGTTTTATCTAAATAACAGTGAAAAAACATGAAACTATTCGCAGGAAATAAAGCAGGATTTATGTAACACTGAATTGAAAAGTAGAGAGAGCAAAAACGTTACAAAGTATCTACTGGTTAACACAATGCAGAGATGAAAGCCACAAGAACAATATTTAAGTAATAAGTCGATTAAACACTCGAACGACTATCTATTTGTTCTCTTTATTGTGTGTGCCTCGACTCAGTTTATAACAAATACACCCAAGTTTCATTTAATCTCGAAGGCCCTCAAATGCCCTGGTATGGCCGAGAGTGGGGTGGGCCCGGCCTCCCTCTCGAAACGCTTTCACACGGCCACGCGTATACAGCCTCTGCCAGGGAACTTCTACTCATTTCCTTCTCATGACACGGGTGTATTTCACAAAAATGAGAGGACGAAAAGCGAGTGTCCGGCGCTTTAAGGATAGACAGAGTGGGAATGGAAGAGTAAGTGACGTGGCAAATAATAATAATAATAATAACTGTTTGACAGTAAATCGCAGCGAGAATAGTTTTCAGTGAATATCATCATTTTCATTATCGCTATACTTGTGTGTAGGTTGAGATACTGCCCGGGTGCCCAAACCGAAGCAGGTGGTTTTCTTAAAGGGCCACACCCCGAACCTTCTACCCGCATGTCTAACGCACAAGGCAGTGGAGCATCGTGAGGAGATGCAGTCCCGTGGTAGCCGGTGACCACCGATTGGTTCATTCGCCAATTTTTCCCTCAGAATCATGGAGTCCATGTGCACCAGCAATTTGGAATCAGGGTTTCCTAACTCTCATAGGTGGACTCTTCATGTCTACCAACTCGGTTAAAGCGCCGGACATTCGCTTTTCGTCCTCTCATTTTCGTGAACAACACCACTGCCACGAGAAGGCAGTGAGTAGAACTTCCCGGGCAGAGGCTATATACGCGTGGCTATGTGAGAGTATTTCGAGAGGGAAGGCGAACCCACCCCACTCTCGGCCATACCAGGGCATTTGGCGGCCAAATGTTAGAATACCGTCATACTTATCAAAGGCCAACAATCGTAGTGTTTCTTGACATCAGGGCTGCCTTCGATTCGTTGAACAGGACTGTTATCTGGGATTGTCTATTGGAGAAGTGTGTGCATGAGCAGTTTATTAACCTCCTAAAGGCCCTATATACAAACACCTCAGGCAGAGTGAGGGCATAAAACCACCTTTCTCCATTATTCCATTCAAGCAGTGTGGTTAGACAGGGTTGCCCAATCTCACCATTCCTCTTCAACTTTGCAATCGATGACATTCTGGAAACAGCTCTGATGGACGTAAGTAATGGTGGTGTGGATCGGTTGCCTGGAGAGACTTCTCGACCTTGAGTATGCGAATGATATTGTCTTACTGTGCGAGAATGCCCAAGCCATGCAATCCGCACTTAATCAGTTGGCAATCAATGTCCGTAGGTATGGTATGTGCTTTGCACCTTCGAAGTGCAAAGTTCTTCTACAAGACTGGCAGGATTCTAATCCTGTACTCACTCTGGATGGTGAGCAGATAGAAGTAGTCGAGAAATTCGTGTATCTAGGTAGCTGCATAAATGCTGGTGGTGGTGTGGGTGATGAGATCAATGCATGTATAGTGAAAGCCAGAGCGGCTTGTGCCAATCTGGGCCATCTTCGGCGCTTTCGTGATGTTAGTCTGGCTGTAAAAGGTCGGGTCTACAACGTGTCGGTGACAGTAGTTTTGCTCCATGCTTGTGAAACCTGGCCTCTCCGAACTGAGGATGTTAGACGACTCTCTATGTTCGATCATCGCTGTCTCCGAAGGATTGCTGACATCCAGTGTCAACATCATGTTAGTATTGCAGAGATTCGGCATCGTGTGTTCGGGCACGGAGACGATAATGCGATTGGTGTCATCATCTTGAAACACCGACTTCTGTGGCTTGGACATGTTCTACGAATGTTGTCCCAGAGAATTCCTCGTCGTGCATTATTTGCCGACTCTGGCACTGGTTAGAAAAAGCGGAGAGGTGGTCAGTATATGACATGGTGTCGTGGTATGAAAGAAAGCTGCAAAGGGCTGGTTTCTGTTGGTCCTTCACGACTCCCTGGCTGGGGTCCGAGAGATGGTGCAACGTAGTGGCTAGAGACGTTATCAGATATGGCTCAGAATAGAAGCCAGTGTCGATCCTGCTGTAACCTTTTACTTTTTTTATAAAGGTGGTTGTATCTTCCTTAACTGAAAGATTTCTTCTGATTGTACCTTTCCGTGACGGGTAGAGTTGAAAACATAGTGGGGATACTCATTATATATGTAAATTATATTTGAAACAATCTCAGCGATTGAAATTTAAATAATTCCAACGTTTCGTCCAGTTAACTTGTCTGGACTTCTTCAGGGTAATAATGATATGTAACAATAAAGAGTCTTTCGGGACTATCAGAGGGAATTAGTTCGAATAATCAGAGATTGGTGAAAGACAGTTTATTATCTGGAGTTACGCAGCAAATGATAGTCATGCTGAGTTCGTGTATGTCGATAAATCAAGATCTTTGGGAAGGCTTCCTATGAATTAGACATAAGACAATCCTAAGCTCAAAATATAGAGGAATAATAAACCAAGAGTGAATCCATATAATTCTATTAACTTCTCCCGACTTCAGAAAGCCCGTTCCCAAGCTTATATGTCCACATACGCACCTACATACAACGATCTATTAACGCCAATGACGAAAGAACTATTAACTAAATTACATCACCTCACCATTTTTAGCCGAATTAGTCATGCATATCAAACACATCAACAGACACTTACCATTAGCTGAAAGAAGATGATGAGCGGAAGAGTATGCTTGAAGCCAAGTAATTGAATTAATCTTTTCTTCGATCTCCAGAGATTTTAAGTAATCGAATTCTGGTTCATGACTAGTAAATGTGCAATAAATATCATATAATCCAGCCTAATTAAGAGTGAAAACTGATAGTGAAGATAAAGAAAAACCTACATCTTTATTATTTCTAAAAACCGTAACACGACCTGCTTTATCACCAGTAGCTAACAATTCTCCAGACTCATTAAACTCGACACATGTAAAGTTATCACCTGTATAACCAATTCATTGGGGACGAAGGGAAACCTACCATCAGCAATGTCTTCAGGATTTGATCCCTTTATTTGACTGACATACCATCTAATTGACTCTGAAAAATAGAACACGTCATGAGAATATCACCAACGACCGATAAAAATGTGATATTGATTTATATCAATTATACACATTTTACTCAGCTTTCTATAAATATGTATAGAATAAATGAAGCAGGCTTCAAGTTTAAACAACTTATAAAGGTAAAATTGGAGTGAATTATAGTCATATTTGTTCTGGAAGTTCTAGGCTTCCTACAGAGTTCAATCATATTTCAATGACGAAAATTAAAAACTACTTCGTTGTGATGAGGAAGATAAGCTGGTACTTCCTAAGGATGATTAGTTCACGAATCAACATCTTCGCGAAGCCCCCAAATGCCCTGGTACGGCTGAGAGTGGAGTGGGCCCGGCCCTCCTCTCGAAATACTCTCACATAGCCACGCGTATACAACCACTGCCAAGGAAGTCTTACTCACTGCCTTCTCGGGGCAGTGGTGTTGTTCACGAAAATGAGAGGACGAAAAGCGAATGTCCGGCGCTTTAACCGAGTTGGTAGACATGAAGAGTCCACCTATGAGAGTTAGGAAACCCTGATTCTAAATTACTGGTGCACATGGACTCCATGATTCTGAGGGAAAAATTGGCGAATGAACCAATCGGTGGTCACCGGCTACCACGGGACTGCATCTCCTCACGATGCTCCACTGATTATACTCCTACTACCTCTACCACTACGAGATTTGAATCGACAACTGCATCTCTGGGCTAATGTGGTATGGCAACTCGAACTAATGTACGTACGTACGTACGAAATTCTACGTTGTTACTGACTGACTGATGCCACAGATTTCCGACTTCGGTGGTAAGGTCTCAACAAGTACGGAACTAACACGAAAACTACTCGCAAAACGGTCGTGTGTGACCGACCTCAAGCAGTTGTCGCTTGGGCACTGCGGTCACGCTTTCAGGTCACTAAGACCATCTCATACCCAATTTCGTCTTCAGCTACTTCAAGAAGAACTCTCCCACGGAGTGGGCGACCGGGAAGTGATAACCGCCTTCAAACCTTTAACAGCACTCGAGATCACTGTATTCATAATCAATCTCCCTCTCCAATCCCTATTATTACTCCTACCTCAGTTTTCATACTCTGAACTTCATCCTCAAATGTCACCATAGCCAACGATTCTAGTGCACGAAACACTGTCCCAGGTCTACTCAAACCTCGCTCCAAACTACAGATTGGAGCATTCAACGTATCAACCTTATGTCAATCAAGTCAGCAGGTCTCCGAAACACACATATAGGATCCCAGTGTGGTCATACATATGACCTCAGCTCGCCAAGTTTGACTAACATAGCATCTAAAATACTAGCTTCAATAAGTACCTGACGCCTAACAAAGACTCGTGAACTGCAAACACGAGTAAATCAGCATGGCTTCATCGACAACATATTCATCATTCGTCAGGTTCTAGAACACAGACATATATATCGGCGTCCAAAAATGGTGGTCTTCCCTGATTTAAACGCACAATTCAATTCTGTAGACCGCGAGTACAGGATCCTAGCGTGTTCATTCACTTGACCTCACCTCGCAAAAACGAAGAGCTGACGAGATACACCCTCCGTGTATCTGGCGACCCAGTGGCTAGTTCTCGTGGACTTGCAGGTATAGGCATAGCATTAAGTACGAAGGCAGAACAAGCACTAGTAGAGTGGATCATCGTTAACAGTCGATCATGAGCTGTTCGGCTAAACGGCTCCGTAAGAACTCTGAAGGATAGGGACATACGTCGTTGCCTTTTTGTCGTTCCTGTCTACGCTCCCACTGACTGCAGCCCAGATGAAGTGAAAAATGACTTTTACAGAAAGGTTTCTGAACTTCTTCAGAAAGCTAAACACACAGACATGATACTCGTAGCAGGTAATTTCAATGTCTAGGCAGGTAGCTTAAACCAAACAGAAAGACATTTAAGTGGGTATTTCAGTATTCCGGCACAGCGAACAGTTAATGGTGATTGTCTGCTGTAACTGTGCTCAGACAATCGTTTATTTTTAGCAAACACTAATTTTAAGCATAAGGAGAGACATCGTCTCACATGGCGACCGCCTGCATCAAACCGACGATGGATTCAAATAGACCCTATTGCCATCAGTCATCGTTGGAGAGGGTCGACAGAAGATTGTCGCTCATTCTGGAACGCCCGCTTGGACTCCGACCACGCATTAACACGGGCACGCATCTGCTTGCGCCTCATCGGATGCAGAAAAGCCAAACCAAGAAGACCCATTAGAATTGAATTGAGTGACAAGAAAACCAAAAGCAGATGCCAGGAACAACTATGGTCACACTTAGGTAGTTCTGAAAACAAGACTGACCCAGATGTTGCTTGGAAAGATATACAAACAGCTGTGGAAACAGCAGTGACATCTGTCAGTGGTCTAAACCAAAGAGTTAGAAAAAACCAATAGATTTCTTTTAAGTCTATCGCACTGATGGATTTTCGTAAAATCATCCCAACAGGCTCTGAACACGATGAAGAGAGAAAACAAATCAGATCTAGGTTAAGCAAAAGTCTAAGGAACGACCGTGAACAGTGGTGGGCAACGAAAGCAAAAGAGATGGTAAAAGCAGCGGCTGTATGTAACACCAAACAGCTTTTCAGACTAATAAAAGAAACCGGGATAAAGAAGTCAAGTGTAATGGAGATGATCTCGGAAAAGGACGGTACTCTTATATACTCTCGGCTCAGGCGTTTAAAATGATAGGCGGAACAATTTAAGGAGCAGTTCAGCTGACCATCAGCTACTCGACAACCACCCACCATTCCCAAACAGCCAGAATGTAACATTGAAGTACGCGCCTGACTTTACGGCTGACCACAGATGCCTTAGAAATATTGCTCAAATATGCTGAGATCACCGAGTAAGTATTAGTAGGGTTAGATGTAGGATATTAGGGAATGATGGTAAATCAGTTGGTGAGGTTGTGAATCTTCATCGACTGAGATGGTTGGGCCACGTGTTGCGTGTGTCTGAACACCGACTGCCACGACACTCAATGCTGACTAGTGTTGAGAATGGTTGGAAGAGTTAGGGGGGGGCAAACCAAAAAGTGTCATCGGTGCTTGAAGTCACTAATTTCTAGTGATGCAGACCACTTGGTTGGGGTCCGCATGACCATCGTAACCAATGGTTGGAGACTCTGGGTGACATGGCTCTGAATCGATCACAATGGTGCAGGTGTATACACTCTCTGTCTCCCCTTAAACTATGAGATTAAAATTGATTCATATCCTTCTTTCCACGAACTAATCCTTTCTTCCTGTACTATGTCCTTATATGCTATCTTTCTTTTATACATTACTACCATTGAATTAACTAACTCCGCCTGGAGTCCCTTTCGGAGTGCTACTGCCGGTCCCAAGCCCGGATAAAGGAGGAGGGTTGGGCATGGGGTTAGCGACCCCATCCCGTAAAAAACAAACTCGCTAAAAAAGCGCTAACCAGAAAAAATTATTCAAACCATTTAAACTCTGCCCTGGGAGTCAGGAAGTCTTCGTTTAGAAGAATTATGACGCCTCATGATGAAAGCCGAGTTCCTTCGGAAGTCACGAGGCCGATGCCCCTTCTGACAACCAGAGCAACCATTTATTTAGGTACATGGAATGCTCGCACAATGTGGGAGACTGGGAGAGTTTTCCAAATTGCTGCAGAAATGAGGAGATACAATTTAGAGGTGCTTTGGATCAGTGAAACACATTGGACGCAAATTGGGCAACAACGACTAGCTTCAGGGAAGCTGCTGTTATACTCCGGACATGAACAAGGAAATGCCCCACATACACAAGGAGTTGCATTAATGCTGTCCAAACAAGCACAAAATGCACTTATAGGATGGAAATCTCATGGACCAATGATCATCAAAGCCTGCTTCAAAACAAAGAAAAAGGGCATTACAATGAACGTCATGCTATGCGCCTACCAACGACTACAGTGAAGACGTTAAAGATCAATTCTACGATAGGCTGCATTCAATCGTCAGGAAGTGCCCAACAAAGGACCTGACTATTCTGATGGGAGACCTAAATGCCAAGGTTGGAATAGACAACACCGAATATTAAGACATCATGGGATGACATGGACTGGAAGAAAGGAATGAAAGCGGTGATAGATTTGCAAACCTATGTATCTGCACTAAACTGCTCATGGGTGGCAATATATTCCCACATAAACGCATTCATAAAACCATATGGACTTCACCGGATCACACTACGCAAAACCAAATCGACCATATCTGCATCAACAAAAAGTTCAGGAGGACGATGAAGGACGTGAGAACCAAGAGAGGAGCTGATAAAGCATCAGATCATCACTTGCTGGTCGCCAAGATGAAATTGAGACTCAAGAAGCACTGGACAACGGGGAGGACAATATCACAAAAATTTAATACGGCTCTTCTTCGGGATAATGACAAACTCAATAAATTCAAGATAACCCTCAACAATAAGTTCCAGGACTTTCATGATTTACTCAATGGAGAAGGAACTGCTATGGAGAGCAACTGCAAAGAGATAAAAGAGGCAATCACTTCAACATGTCATGAGATTCTGGGCCAAAAGAAGCATCATCACAAGGATTGGATCACGATCGATACACTAGATAAGATTCAAGAAAGGAGGAACAAGAAGGCAGCAATCAATACCAGTCGAACAAGAGCAGAAAAAGCCAAGGCACAGGCTGAATACACAGAAGTATACAAGCAGGTGAAGAGGAGCATCAGAACTTACAAACGTAAATATGTGGAAGATTTAACAATGACGGCGGAAAAGGCTGCCAGAGAAGGAAACATGAGACAACTGTATGACACAACAAAGAAACTCTGGAAATCACCGTAAACCAGAACGACCAGTGAAAAACAAGGAAGGCAAGATAATCACCAACATTGAAGAACAACGAAACAGGTGGGTAGAACACTTCAAGGAACTCTTGAATCGACCAGCCCCACTAAACCCACCCAACATCGAAGCAGCACTCACGGACCTCCCAATCGATGTTGGCCCACCAACAATTGAAGAAATCAGCATGGCTATCAGACAAATCAAGAGTGGCAAAGCAGCAGGACTAGACAGCATCCCAGCAGAGGCACTGAAAGCAAACGTAGCGGCAACTGCAAGGATACTCCAAACTCTCTTCAGAAAGATCTGGGATGAGGAACAGGTACCAAAAGACTGGAAAGAAGAACTTCTAGTCAAAATACCAAAGAAAGGCGATCTCAGCAACTGTGATGACTACAGGGGCATCACTCTTCCCTCAATACCAGGAAAAGTCTTCAACAGGGTATTGTTAAACAGGATGAAGGACTCTGTAGACGCCCAATCTCGAGACCGACAGGCTGGATTTCGTAAGGATAGATCGTGCACAGACCAAATCGCAAATCTACGGATCATTGTGGAACAATCAATTGAATGGAATTCATCGCTCTATATCAACTTCATTGACTACGAAAAAGCATTTGACGGCGTGGACAGAACAACACTATGGAAGCTTCTTCGACACTACGGCGTGTCTCAGAAGTTAGTCAATATCATACGGAATTCCTACAATGGATTAAACTGCAAAATCGTTCATGGAGGACAGTTGACAAACTCCTTGGAGGTAAAGACCGGTGTCAGGCAAGGTTGCTTACTCTCACCCTTTCTCTTTCTCCTGGTGATCGACTGGATCATGAAGACGTCAACATCTGAAGGGAAGCACGGGATACAGTGGACAGCTAGGATGCAATTGGATGATCTAGACTTCGCAGATGATCTGGCTCTTCTATCGAATACGCAACAACAAATGCAGGAGAAGACAACCAGTGTAGCTGCAGCCTCAGCAGCAATAGGTATTAATATACACAAAGGGAAAAGCAAGATTCTCTGAAACAACAGAGCATGTAACAATCCAATCACAACTGACGGAGAAGCTTTGGAAGATGTAAAAACCTTTACATATTTTAGCAGTATCATCGATGAACACGGTGGATCTGATGCAGATGTGAAGGCACGGATTGGCAAAGCAAGAGCAGCATATTTACAACTGAAGAATATCTGGAACTCAAAACAATTGGCAACCAACACCAAAGTCAGAATTTTCAATACAAATGTGAAGACAGTTCTACTGTATGAGGCGGAAACCTGGAAAACTACGAAATCCATCATACAAAAAATACAAGTGTTTATTAACAGTTGTCTACGCGAAATACTTCAGATTTGCTGGCCAGACACTATTAGCAACAACCTACTGTGGGAGAGAACAAATCAGATCCCAGTGGAGGAAGAAATCAGGAAGAAGCGCTGGAAGTGGATAAGACACACATTGAGGAAAGCACCGAACTGCGTCACAAGACAAGATCTCACATGGAATCCTCAAGGCCGAAGGAGGAGAGGAAGACCAAAGAACACATTACGCCGAGAAATGGAGAGAGATATGAGAAAAATGAACAAAAATTGGATGGAACTAGAAAAGAAGGCCCAGGATAGAGTGGGTTGGAGAATTCCGGTCGACGGCCTATGCTCCATTGAGACTAACAGGCGTAAGTAAGTTGAATTAACTACTATGAATCCGGTGTTCATCTTGCTCTGTTAATGAGGTATAGCAACTTGGACCGATGCACAAACGTGCCTGGTTCTATGTTGTAGCTGACTGACTGACTGCATTATTTTCCATTGCAAGACTTTAATAAGTAACCATTAAAGCCAGACAATATTAAATTATGACAAATATAGAGACACACTCGAAAAATTTCATATACATGGTCGAAATGCCTTGTGAATAAAATCAGAGATAAAAGCTGATTTCCGGAGGAGGTAAGCCATGGGTAAATGAGCGTCAACGCATTTACAATCAGTATTATGTACACCAATATGAAAATACGAGATTAATAACCTATTAATTTGTAGAGATAAATCACCAAAATAAGTAATTCTGCAAGCCTTCAACATTGATGCTGACCTCGTCAGTTTTGCTGGACACACCTAGCTGAAGGTGCTCGGTCACATATCGGCACCAGACCACGAGAGGGTACGCCGTGCTACACACTCCCAGCAACTGTTAGCCAACTTAAACCAAACGCTTCTCGACATATCGATAGTCTTTCAAATATATCTTTGAACCCTTTCACTACTGACTTTTGATTTGACTGGGTTGGTATACTCCGATTATAAAGGTGTAATGTGTAAATGCGTTGTTAAAGTCAGAATACCTGTGGCATCTTTATACTCATAGTAAAGAGGGGTTTCGCTAACTGGAATATGAATACATGCATCAAGCTACTACGTGGGTACGTACTTAAGCGCCATAGTCTACCGAAGATATAAAACCGGTTCTGATTTTTATTAAAACCATGGGCGGCAGTGTCACTGTCATATTACTAATTGTGTTATGACGATCCAAAAAAATTATACAAAAATCACTATAAACCCAACATATGCGTTAATCCATATTATCAGCTTACTAAATAACCACAAAAGGTGCTTCATTGGGGGAGTTAACGGTTAATTACCCCCAAAAAATTATATATTATTATCTTCCTTCGTTATACAATATTGTTACGTATATTCTCGTTGCTACGTATGTCTTACTACCAAAGATGACGTGCTACTTCAAGAGATTAGGGTTAGTGGCTTTCACTGTTAGAGTACAAAACATCGACATCAGTCAGTGTTGAATGGGTTTATTCGGTCTATTTTCGGTCTCCGAAACTTCGTATTCTTAGCACGAAAATAGTGACTCACGTCCAATCATATACAACAAACCTCCAAGCATGATAAGTCATTGTTCCCTAAATGATGGAAGTACTTTACTGAGGATTAGATATTGATTCAGACGTCTTATCCATAAGTTACCATATGAATGAAGTGAAGCTAATTAGCTTAACCTCAAGGACAGCCGCCGAAAACAAGTATTACGTTTTGCACACTGGAATAACCTGACGCAAAAAATATGGAGTCGCTAGTTAGATGACCTACCACACAGAGTCTTATTCATAATTTACACAGAAACACCGGAATATCGCCTCATCTGTCATTTAAGCGCCACTGATTCAAAAACACCGCAACAGCTGATCCTACAGTGGATCAGAAAATATAACAAACTCAGCTGCTAGTTGATATTATTAAACACAAAAATGATGAAGTAGAAAGAAGGATTCGATCACACTCCTTGATTAAAATTCAATTATTTGCGTTCTTTTTTCCATCAATTTCCGTGAAATACGTTTGCCAATCTAAACCCATAAACACAGAATTTATTACCCTATCAGGTTCAATTTGGAAAGAGCAAGAGACCAGACGGTCTGTGAACGTTTTGGCAATTGTTGTCCATCAGTTGATACAGCATTCTTTTGAAGGCGTCGACATATGAAACTCTAACCACGTGTTGATTTAGTAAATTCGGTTTGTTGACGATTCAGATTTCTGTAGTAAAGACAGAAGGACTACGGCCCATGCTATTCCTTTTCTAGTATGCTTCTATGGGTGTCCAGTCTTCTCTTCAATGAGTCAGTTGAAATAGTGGACACCAAAAATGAGAAAAATGTGTCGGGCCTATCAAATGATGATCAGGAACTGTAGTGGCATCGGATCATAACCACACACTCCTCAAAGCTGAACATGAAACTATTCGGAAAATAGATATTCAATATTTAACGCGGAGAAATACCTAACAATGAAGAAGGCGGGAATAAGGATTTGAATAAATTAGAGTTAATCTTATGGCATGGCTCGACCATGCAGGCGTGGTCTCTGCTAATTGTTACGTTATGTTGTAGCGTGGTGTCGAGTTGAGCTTGACTATGAACACCGCTACAAGACTACGTGCCAATAGACCAATAAGATTCTGGTAGGCCAAAAATCAGAAGGCAGATGATGGCTGTAGTCGAGATGTATTTGTTGGCGATCTCGTGGTATCGAAAGAATACCGAGATCGTGCCAAAGGAGTACAAGCGTGGTTACTGAGCGTAACCGAATTCGTACAAGTTCAAAGTCAACGGGAGAGAGAGTATAATGGCTGTCATTAGCACAGTTAAACAAACGAGCATAGTAAAACAGCCACTGGTACAATTGGTTATAATAATAGTTGTTTTCATTGAACCAATCGCGTTCTGTAGACAAAAGTAGGTCACTACAGGAGCCCTCCGCTAGAAAGGGTTTACACTTTCGATAGTTAGCGGTTTGATTCGTGGGACTTCTCGGCAGAAGTGCGGTTGTAGGACGGAGGAAATTGGCGGAACAGGAAGTGATCGTTGATCCTCGAGTTGCCAACTAAAGTCTTTTGCGCAAAACGGTACCAGGAGAAGTGTGCTGTATTTGCTGGTCGAATTAGCGTACCAAACCATAGTGATTTGTATCCAGGATCTGATGATTGCGTTCGTAGGGATGCGAACCAGAAAACGCTGCAGACATAGAACGAAACCACGTTGAGCCAAGAAACCGGACGCGACCATAACGACCAAGCGTATGCCAGGCGAATTCGAGACCAGATAATCGACTGAGTGCGTTGACTAGAGCATGGGTGGCCAAACCAGCTTTTGCCAAAGTTGACTGAAGTCGACGTTACCGAACGGGCGATGGTCGGAGGCGTGGGCTCAGGATTAAAAAAAATCAAAAAAAGAAAAGTGTAGCATGCGTGTAGTATAGGAATAATCCTACACTGTATCTGTTATTGACTGTGCGTTTAGTCGCGAAAGCGTACGGGTAATCGCACTCGGCGACCGGAACGTGAGGCGATAGTCTCGTTCGTACTCCGTGAGCCTGCGATCTCATCCGAGGTCAAGGGCGGCGTGGTCTGCTGATCTGGACGTGAGACGGAAGCCTCGTCCGTAGATGGTGCAGATGACGCGTGCTGTTGACCGGGACGTGAGAACGAGGTCTCTGATGTATCAAGCGTGGGATCCGAGGTAGACGTAGAGATCCCGCTAGAAGGTTTGATAGGTCTAGCATTGAGTCTCAAGTTATCGGGTAGGGCACTGTCATCGACGTGTGCTTGTTTGAGACGATCAATGCTGACGATCTCGACGCGGCCGTGTCGATCAACCTTGAAGGTCTTTTCGTGACGAGAGATCACGTGAAAAGGGCCTTCGTAAGGCTGTTGTAGAGGTTTGCGTTTCGAATCTACTCGTATGAAAACATGTGAACAGGTAGATAACTCTCGAGGGAGAGCGACCTGTTGATGTTGTATTCGAGTTGACACCGGAGACAGCGTTCGCATAAATGCAGACAGTCGATGGACGTAGTCTGATTTACCGAAATCATTACTGCTCCGTGGTGTGAAGAATTCTCCAGGCAGACGCAATGTCGTGCCGTATACAAGTTCAGCGGCGGAACATTGGATATCTGCCTTTAAACTCGTTCTGATGCCTAAGAGAACGAGCGGTAAGGTTTCGTACCAATTGTCGTTTTCGTGTGCTTGGAGAGCACTTTTAAGTTGGCGATGAAACCTTTCGACTAAACCATTCGATGCTGGATGGTAGGCGGTAGTGCGTATGCGTTCTGTACCAAGCAGCCGGGTCAGTGAGGAGAATAATGCGGACTCAAATTGTTGTCCTCGGTCAGTCATGACAGTCGAGGGACAACCGTACAATGCTAACCATCGTTCTACGAAGCGGTGAGCAACTGTCTCCGCCGCGATAGACGTGATGGGAATAGCTTCGGGCCATCTTGTAAAACGGTCAATGCACGTGAGTATGTGATCTCACCCATGCGATGGTGGCAATGGTCCTACAATGTCTATATGAACGTGATCAAAGCGAGCATCAGGAGTAGCGAACGTGCCAATGGGGGCAGCTACGTGCCTGTGCACTTTTGATCGTTGACACTGTAAGCATTGCTTTACCCACATACGAACATCTTTATTCATGGACGGCCAGACGTATCGTGCAGCGATGAGACGTAATGTGGCTGCGATACCTGGATGAGACAATCCGTGAAGGGCATCGAAGACGAGACGGCGATAGGTAGAGGGTACGATGGGTCGAGAAAGACCGGTAGAAATATCATATAGGATAGTACCTGAGCTAGTAGATAGGGGTACTTCCTGACACTGAAGGGACGAAGATTGTGGTGCTTCTGTACAGACAAGATCGTTTGCTTGCGCGGCGGCCATAGCAGGAAGGTCGAGCACCGGTAAAGTAATTGCATTCGTCTGGATACGTGAAAGAGCATCGGCAACATAGTTCGACTCGCCTTTAATGTGACGAAGGTCTGTCGTGAACTGGGAGATATAGTCCGAATGTCTGCACTCTCGTGGTGAGTAGCGGTTAGACTTGGTATGCAGGGCATACGTTAAGGGCTGATGGTCGGTGAATAAAATGAATTGACGTCCTTCTACTGCGTGCCGGAAATGTTTGATGGCGCAGTAGGCTGTAAGCAGCTCGCGACCAGAAGCGCTATATCTCGTCTCCGTGGGAGTCAGGCGTCGTGAGAAAAATTCAAGCGGTTGCCAACTACCGGAGATATTCTGTTGCATGACGGCTCCTATAGCAAAATCTGATGCATCAACCGCTATACTAAGCGTGGTTGATGGGTCAGGATGAGCGAGAAGTGTAACTTCAGCGAGAGCCGTTTTGATCTCTGAGAATGCAGTACGTGCGGTATCGTTCAATTCTAATTTGCGTGGATTACCGCGAAGTAAATCGGTTAATGGTCGTAACCGTTCTGCCGCGTGAGGGATAAAACGTCGGTAGAAGTTAACCAAACCGAGAAAAGCCTTCAGTTCCTTGATTGAGGACGGCACGTTTTACTCCTTGATTGCTCGAACTTTGTCCTCGCAAGGCAGAATACCCTCTTGTCTGATGATGTGACCCAGAAATATTATTTCTGATTTACCCAATTCACATTTCTCTGGGTTGACTACTATTCCATTATCCGAAAGACGTTGGAAAAATAGCGTAAGGTGTTGATAATGTTCATCTACGTTTGATGATGCGATCAGCAGGTCATCAACATAGACGTGAACAAAATCCAAGTCTCGTACTATGCTATCGATAGACCTTTGGAAAGTTTGAGCAGCATTCCGTAATCCAAATGGCATTCGTAGGAACTCAAACAGACCGAAAGGAGTCGTGATAGCAGTTTTTTCGATGTCTTCAAGAGCGACTGGGATCTGGTGATATGCTCGTACCAGATCGATTTTAGAAAAGATAGTCATGCCCTTGAGCGATGCCGTGATGTCGTGTATGTGGGGGATGGGGTAGCTATCAAAGCGCGTAACTACGTTTAATGCTCGGTAGTCGCCGCAAGGTCTCCAACTAACCCCATCCTTTTTGCGCACCATGTGTAAAGGAGAGGCCCAAGGACTGTGAGAAGGATGAATAATACCAGTAGATAGTAAATTGTCAAACTCACGTATAGCGAAAGCTAATTTGTCCGGTGCCAGTCGGCGTGGTCTTGCCGTGACTGGTGGTCCGCGGGTGACTATGTGGTGTACCACACGATTAGTCATCGATGAAATCTCCTCGAGTGGTTTAGTTAATCTGGGGAATTTCTCGAATAAAGCGTCGGATTAATCGTCACGCGAATAAAAAGTTCCGAGGATTCGGAACGCGTACATCGGAGTCTATTATATTAATACTATTCTTATCGCTATCCGTCATGTCGAGTATATTATATATTAAAAATTAATATGAAAATATACGACAGACGTGGATAGATAAAACAATAGATTCACCGAATTGTCTTCTTTGGAAGATTTGACCGAGGTTGAGGCGTGTTCCAATATTTGGCTCACCAAATGTAGCGTGGTGTCGAGTTGAGCTTGACTATGAACACCGCTACAAGACTACGTGCCAATAGACCAATAAGATTCTGGTAGGCCAAAAATCAGAAGGCAGATGATGGCTGTAGTCGAGATGTATTTGTTGGCGATCTCGTGGTATCGAAAGAATACCGAGATCGTGCCAAAGGAGTACAAGCGTGGTTACTGAGCGTAACCGAATTCGTACAAGTTCAAAGTCAACGGGAGAGAGAGTATAATGGCTGTCATTAGCACAGTTAAACAAACGAGCATAGTAAAACAGTCACTGGTACAATTGGTTATAATAATAGTTGTTTTCATTGAACCAATCGCGTTCTGTAGA